GGAAAACTCTCTCTCTCTCTCTCTCTCTCTCTCTCTCTCTCTCTCTCTCTCTCTCTCTCTCTCTCTTTCTCTCTCTCTCTCTCTCTCTCTCTCTCGGCTAGCTACGTGGCGGGTCATTTTTCTTTTGTTTTTCTCATAGGAGATGGCTATTGCGGGATCTTTGTTACGTTGTTTGGCGGAGGAGGAGCGGGAGGAGGAGCGGGAGGAGGAGCGGGAGGAGCGGGAGGAGCGGGGGGAGTGGGAGGACGGATGGGAAAAAGAGCGGGAAAAAGGAGTGCGAGGAGCAGCGGGAGCAGGTGCGGGAGAAGGAGCGGGAAGGGAAATGCGAAGGGGCGGAGGAGCCGCGGAAGGAGGAGCTGGAGAAGGAGCGGCAGGGGAAACGGGAAGGGGATTAGGAGCGGGAGAAGGAGCACGAGGAGAAACGGGAAGGGGCGGAGGAGGCCCAGGAGGAGGGGCGGTAGAAGGAGCGGGAGGAGGAGCGGGAGGGAAAACGGGGAGGGGGTTAACGAACATGCGAGAGGCGGAGGAGGGGGAGGAGATATAGGTGGAGGAGGAGAAGCGAGAGGAGCACGAGGACGACCGGGAGAAGGAGCGGTAGGAGAAACCGGGGAAAGAGCAGGGGAAGCAGCGGGAGAAGGAGAAGCAGTAGGAGGGAGAGCTCGAGAAGGAAAACGAGGAGGAGAGGGAGGAGCAGCAGGAGAACGAGCCGAAGCGGGGCTATGGCGGGATCTTTGTTACGTTGTTTGGCAGCGGAAGGAGGACGAGCAGCAGGAGGAGCGGGAGGAGCAACAACAGACGGAGCGCGAGAAGGAGAGGGAGGAGGAGAGGGAGGAGGAGAGGGAGAAGGAGCGGGAGCGGGGCTATGGCGGGATCTTTGTCACGTTGTTTGATGGAGGAGGAGCGAGAGGAGGAGGAGTGGGAGGAGCGGGAGGAGGAGCCGGAGGAGGAGCGGGAGGAGGAGTGGGAGAAAGAGGGGGAGAAGGAGGGGGAGGAGTGTCTGTCCTTCAACATTCCTGTAGGCATTGAGCAGAGTCTTGTCGTCGATCAATATAAGTCTCTGCTCAATCGATGCACGTATCAGCTTACTGGAAGCTTCCATTGACTCGGACTGAATCACAGCACTGATTCGATCCTCCTCCTCACTTGAACCATCATCAATCCTTTCGAGAATCTTTGTCATCACGTGGGTAATCCCAGCAAGAATCAACAATTCTGCTTTAACCTTGGAAAAAATTCCTGATAATCCATGTAAGAAATGTACAATTTGCAACAAAAACCAAAAGTTGTTGTTAGAATGATGTCATAAGATTTTTTTTACTCACTAATAAAATGGTGTGCGGGGTGAGCGGCACATGACCGAGTGGTTAGGGCACCGGTTGGAAATGCACATTGTGGTCTGAGGTTGTGGGTTCAAAACCCTACAACCTTGTGCATAGGCCGTCGGCAAGGCATTACCTTGATGGACTATCACTCACACACTGAGTGTCAGAAACGACCAGGGGGCACGGATGTACATAAGGATCCGCATAGACCTGACCGGGGGTCTACTTGAGAGGGTGCATAGCAGATACTAGCCCTTGCGCACTCCCGGGAGCTCCGGAACGCCTGCACACGCCTCCCCTTGGGTTGCTGGAGGCCATCGGGGGGACAACTCCAGAAGGGGCAGACTCAGTGGGGATGAGTATGGGCGGAGTGAAGGGTTCACCCCCTTCCTAGCAGCACCTCGTGACAGTGGTGTATCTGCCTCCCGACCGACTGCCTCGATGATGCAGGGCCCGGAGTTCGAGGGGGGTGCACGCTGGCACAACGGCTTGGTAGCTCTGGTCCAGGCTAAGTCACCCTGATGTGTTGCAAGGTCTCTCCTCTCCTCCTCTCTGAGAGCCCAGGTCTTGATTGATTCCTGATTCAGTGGGTGGGTCCGCTAAGCCCCTCGTTGGACTTCCTCCCTGGATCATTGGTGTGCGGTAGTACATTGCACATAAGCTGTGTCAAAGTGTCATTATTTCCAAAGAAGAGGTTTGGAGGAAGATCTGACTGCTTTTTGCTACAGAGCTAAGAACACAAAAGCACTTTTCAATGAGGAAGTTAATATCACCGCCGTTTTATAGAGGAAACACTGGAAAAATTCTGTATTCAAGTAATTTACTAGATGACCTGGTACAACGTCGCCCGCAAATAAAATGAAAAGATAAAAACCAAAAATGAAAGAAAAAGCATAATTAAATGAAGTAGCCTTGTCACGTGAGTCGTAATGCTGGGAGTACATCTTGGAGCATTTCCTAAAAGGCCAAGGCCAAAGAGAAAACCCAGAAGTACGTGTCAGAATCTCTCTCTCTCTCTCTCTCTCTCTCTCTCTCTCTCTCTCTCTCTCTCTCTCTCTCTCTCTCTCTCTCTCTCTCTCTCT